TTTTCCCCTTGCGTAGTTACTACAAGAGGGGGGGTGACACAATTTGGATTTATGGTTGTGACTGTAGAGGTTATCTGCAGGTTTTGATTCTGCTGGAAATCCGGAATCTTAATTTCATCCACTAGAGAAACAACATTATCATCTTCATAAATCGCATCTAGAGGCTTCGGCTAAAGATGTGTGAGTTGGGTCGGGGAAATTTATATTTTGTATGGATTCTCAACTTGTAATGGTTCTTTATGATTAAATAAATAAATGATACCAACCTGATTACAGAATTAAAAAAAAAAAAAACATATATTATATATATTGAATATTTATTAAAACTATAATTTTTGTTTTTTTAATGTTAGAGTGAGGTATTATTTATGATCTTTATTAATAGAATAAAAGTTTAACTTGTTACATAATTAATATTAAGATATGAATTATATTGCTATAGATATTAATCTACTATCCATTAAACAAATATATTATCTGAAAAATCCTTAAGCAAAAAAAACCTGAGGAACTATTTGTTGTGAAAAATAAAAAATAAAAAACATTTGGAGCAAGATTACTGGCATTGTAAAATATTTGGATGAGAAGAAAAAGAAGGAGAAAATTGAAACTTTTATTAAATGTGGTTCCTGAATACAATTAAATGTTTCAGTCAGATAATGGCATCACGCAAGCTACATATAACTTAATGGATTTGATTGTGTGATATTTTGTGATGTTGTTGTTGTTATGGGATTTGATCATGTTATGGTGTAAATAATAGGATAACTGGAATACATTCCAGATATTTATTATATTGTTTTGATAGAGTGTTGTGTATTGTGATTACCAGAACCTACACAGGATACTAATTATGCATTCTTCTAATCTGGTAAGTTGTTGTGTTGTTTTGGTATATGGAAATAATACAAATTATAATTGATATTTTATATGTTATAGATCATTTGATAAGGGTAAGCTGGTTATGATTTTTGTGTTGAAATTTGTGAACGAGGACTGGTAACTAGCCAGAAAATTATGTGAAATCTAGTACTAGTTATTATAAGTAGAAAACAAAAAAAACTCTAAAAAAACTAAAATACTGCCTCTTGAGAATAGGATTATTTTTGAGTTGAAGATGAAAAATGTGATTGTTTTATAGTAGTTATGTTTAGAGATAGCCTTTATATAGAAAATTTTCTTTTTATTCATCTTCTCTGTTCCAAGTTATTGTCCAATGCCATTATCAGTCATTAATCTTTTAGAGTAGACTCCATTGCTGAAAATCCCAAGTATACATATTACTGAAATTTGTAGATCCTTGACGCAATTGACGTAATTATTTGACGCAATTAATTGAGTCACTATTAAAATATATAAATAATTGAGTCATGACACAATTATTTTTGAGAATTTTGGGAATTAAGTCAACAATAAAATAATTTACGCCATATGTATAATCCCAGGGATCAATCTTATTCTTGAAACTTCCACTGCTTTAAATCAATTCTTTGATCTATGTTCCTTTTCAAAAAGACATATTCCGCTAGAAAAAGTTTCTTGAAAGAAAGAAGCTTTCTAAAAAGGCAATTTCCTATAGATGGAAATGTTGTATAAAAGAGTTTTTTTTTATTATTAAAACTATAATTATATAAGTCAAATATATAATATATTATAATAATATATTAAGTACTAATATATATTATAAAAATCTTTTGATTTTGGATTATTCAAATATATTATTTTTTAAAGATTTCAAATAAAAAATATTAGGATATCCAGTTATTTTATTAATTTTATAAAATAGATAAATAAATTAATAGATTAAATAATTTAAATTGATAATGAAATTTTTATTTTCTATATAATTTTATTTTCTATATAAGTTTAATTTCTAATATAAAGCTTATGTAATAAGATTATAATATATAAATTAATTATAGTTAATTTACAAATTAGTAATAATATTAGTATATATAAACTATTTAAATATATAATATCTAAATTTAATTTAATAAAAATTAAATATCAATTGCTTTTTACTTTTTTTAAAAATATATATATATATTTATATTGAAATAATAATTTAAAATATAGATTAACAACCTAACCAATTTCATAATAAAGCCATGTGTGTATCACACTTTAGCTCTTAAATATATATATATATATAGATTAACAATTCCTTTTAAATTAAAATATAAAATATTTTTAAATATTATTTATTTTTATTTTTATAATTACAATATATAAAAATATTAAATAATTAATATTATATTATAATAGTCTAATATACTTATTTATTTGTAAAAAAAATATAATTACTAAATTATATAAGTAATACATTAATTTTGATATTAAGAATTAACTTATTAATAAATATTTTGTTATTTAAAAAATATTTAATTTTAATATAGTATTATTAGTATTATTGGTTAATTAGAAATAATAATAATAATAAAATCAATAAAAATATATATTTAAAATTTGGTTTAACCTATCCAATATAAACAGCACCAGCTTTTTATAAAAAATTGTTGATTAGCTAAAGATTAAAAAAAAACAATAACCTTATGAATAAAGTTAAAGGATTTACCAAAATCGACAAGTCGATGACGATCTGCTGTAGGAAAACGATAAATTAAGGATCTACCCTTTCCTATTACTTTTAGAAAGAATAACAAGAAACCTTGCTTTTTCAACCGATAATGATATCAAATGTTTTATGAAAATGTCTGGCTTATCAAACATTCTTGCTGTCAAATTCAAGAGTACGGAGCGCATTGCGCTGACCACAGCTCTTAGGAATTATATTAGTTATTCATATGCCGAACACCCTGACGCGTACACAGACGATTTTCGAATTATTGATGATCTGAGAACGGACTGCCTTAATTTAGAGGTGCATCAGAACGCCCTGAATAGATTGTTAAAGTGGGTCATTATCTGATTACGGAGATTTAATATACGGGATCCTCATTCAAAAAAAAAAAACAACGATAATTTTGTTTACTCAGGTATTACGGACAATTAGTGTTCGTTGGATCAAAATTTCCGATCGATGTAGGTTTTCTAATTTGGTTGCATACCTTCTTCCATTTTACCAGTGATATGTTTACGGATTTATATTATACATTTAGGTGGACATAGAATTTCCTTGGTATTCAGCTTTCTCGGATGATAAAAGACCGAGTACGTTTCGTTTATCACATTGGTCAAAAAATCATGAATTCTGAGATAGAATCAATGTAATTATTCTATAATGATATACTATTCATGAAAAAAAAAAATTTTTTTTTTGTTAGCTGCACATCGAAATTTTTACTATGAGAAAGCATGCGTACTATTTAACATCGGTGCCATGTATAGTCAGCTTGGTATCTCAGAAAATAGGTCAACACCCGAAGGCGTTAAAAGGGCCTGTCAGCATTTTCAAGTAATATCTAAACATTATATTATTAATTTGTGTTTCTTAGAATGAGTGATTGATCAGAATCTCACTCCATTAGTTTGCGGCTGGATGCTTTAAACATTTGAACGAGACAATCATACCAGAAATGCGAATCGCGCCAACTTTAGATATGTCACCCGAGACCTTGGGTGTGCTTATTAACACAATGCTTGCGCAGGCTCAAGAATGTTTTTGGAAAAAGGCCGTTTATGGTATCAATCGGGATATTTTGCACTAGCGATTTTATAGTATATTACACAGCTATTAACTGTTATCTTATTTTAACAATGAAAATAATAACAAAAGAACAATTTAAGGATGGGACAGTGGCTAAGCTAGCAAGTCAGGTATCCGCTTATTATGATTCTGCTCATGAATTGACCACAAGCAACCCAGATGTTTCCAAGATGCTAGGACAAGTGAGATCGTATTTATTTCGTGAATTAATGCTTGGTACATCATTATTGACTTGAATATGGGATTTTAGAAGTGGGTTACACATTTGAAAGTGAAATCGTGGCATTTTATGGCGGCGGCAGAATTTCGAAAGTCTAGTGAATGTACTGGTCAAAATAAGTACGGCGAAGAAATTGCGAGATTGCAAGTGGCGGAAAGTTACGTGAAACGTAGTTTCGAACAAAGTAAACACTTGGGAGAAGCGGTCCTCAAGGACTTGGAGGTAATTGTTTCACGTTTCATTGTTTTTATTTTACTGAATTAATAATGAATTTTAATTTGCAATAGTCATTACGCAACGCGGTCTCATCGAATCTCAGTCGCGCAGTAAAAGACAACGATATCATTTATCTTAACACCGTTCCATCGGCTTCATCGCTGGTAACCATCAGTCGAGCAAACTTAGCAAAAGTCAGCATTCCACCCGAAGTTGAAGACCCTATTCCTTTAATGAATGAAACATCGATCTTGGGTATGCCCTTGTTCGCTAAGCTCGTTCCTTTTGCTGTCCATCAAGCCCATAGTGTGTATTCGGATCGCAAGAAACAGCTCGGGAATAAAATAATATTACAACTGCAAGAACTATCAAACGTTTGCAACAGGTACGTGATCAATCCTTAATATTGAATCAATGGTACGATGATAAATAGGTCAAAGTTAACCTGAGAACATTACAGCACTTTGCAATCGTTGAATCTTCCCGCCTCATTACATACACCCGAACAATCACTTCCATCATCATTGTTTGCAAACTCACAATATGCTCGTGGTGAAGGAGGATTGAACAGGTTGGAAGGCATGTTGGAGACTATTGATGAATGTTTTCCCAAAAACAGTAGGATTTTAGAGGAAGTACGTAATTTATTATATCTGGTTAGAATTGTCAATATTGTAATCAAAATTTGAGGAATAAATTTGTTCGTCATACACCAACCGGAATATAGTCGTTCAACATACTGGATGCGGAAGCAGGAGAGGATGAAGAATGGCAAAGTCAATTTGGAGAAAGATGGACGAGAGAATGTTCAGAGAATGGCAACAAAGGACTAGTAGATCAAGCGAATAGATATAAAGAGACTCTCGAGCGAGCTCGTGTGGGAGATAATACAGTTCGAGAAAAAATTGATAAATGGTCGGATTATATTAGATTACTGTGTGAAGACAAGGTGAATATTCAACACATTATTTTATATTTTCGAAGCGATTCTTTTACATTGTGCTTATAATTTTTATTAATAGGAAACATTGGTAAGTTCCATTCCTTCAGGTAACATGATATCAGGATCCACACTGGCAGGTCTTCAAGAAACCACGAATGAATTGCGGTCACAAGTAAACGAAGCCTATAAATTCATGAAAGATTGTCAAAATACGATACAAGAGGTGAAAAAAACTGCAGACTTGGATGATATTGGTAATTTCAAATGAATTAATAAAAAAAAAACGTAATTTGATCAACGGTCAAGTTCAACGAATAAATTTTATGAAATCAGGTCCAATCTTGCTTAAGGAAGCGGCAAAGATAACAGCTACCCATGGTACTGCGACAAAAATTGAACCAGCACAATTTGAAGATTTATTCAATGAGCAGATGAAGAGATATGATAAGTTTTTAGAATTGACGAATAAAGAATCAGAACGTCAAGAAAAAATTTTGAATAACGTTAGGGTACCGTAAAAAATTCCTTTCGTTTTTATTTTAAATTTTTATTATGCGCTAAGAATAATCTCTCGATGAACTTAGGAAAAATTCGATGAATTATCGGAAAAACGCAAGTTATCGTATAACCCTGAAAGAATGAAGATTTTAAAGAATCTTGAAAATGCCCATAGTAAATTTAAAGAAATCCTGACGAACTTAAAAGAGATCATAAATGTACTAAGGAGATATATCTTTAAACTTTCTCTTAGGAAGTTTGTAAATCGATTATTTAGATAATACTTTATTTGCTTTTATTTAGTTTTACCATGAATTCGAGGCTTCGTTGAATGAATTTAAGAAAAATTGTGAAGAATTTGCGGAAATTCGTCATGAAGACGGGGAGAAATATGTTAGGTGAGATCCGTGATAAATCAATTAGGACACATTGACGCTTATGTCTAATGGCGATCTTATTTTTGTGCTTTAAGTCGATTGACAGGTCATAAGGTCAATTCCAATATATCCCACGAGACATCATATGGTGGATCGCCTTATGCGAGCGAAGGAACATCTGTAAATTATAATTGGACACGAGGTACACCTGTATCTATCTCACAACAGGGAAGCAAACAACCGCAACCGCCGAAGATCTGGAATGAAACTATGGAAATAAAATTTAGAAATGATAATTTATAATATTCAATTGACTAAAAATCTTGATCTGAACCTAGATACATTATTTATATGTTAAATATTCTGATAGTACTATGTGTATATTGTTTCTTAAATATTAATGGTTCGTAAATAATACAATATTATTATTAATTAAATCTATTTGCTTTATTATTGATCTTACTGATTGTTATTTTTAACAATAGTAAGTATTTTATATTATTTTATTATTAATGACAAAGAAGCTTGAATTATTATTATTAATTATAGTTGATGATTCAATATTCTTTGTAAGGTATAAACAGATAAGTTCCATTTTTATATGTTTGAGCAAAGATGATGTTAAAATGCCGAGGAATTTGAAAATCATACAAGGTCTCGTCAGAAACTTTGAGAAGGTAAGGAAACGGGTCGTATTCTGTAACAATGCAAAAAAGTTGTTTGAAATCAAGGAAGAATATAGAAATGAAAAGAAATTCTGTTACGCAAGAGTCAGCTCGAAAAGGATCTCAACAGGCAATGCGCGTACCTCATGCAGAAATGCCCAGATCATGAATTCGAATGGTTGGCTCTGCAGATTTGTATACGAGTTTTGGCAATAACAGTACAAAGATCATGACACTAAGTTCGGATGTCAACGTTAATGGCATCTAATCTAATGAGCTTGCCGAGGAACTATCAGCCAAGAACCGAAACGATGAAGGAAGATTAAAAACACGTGATATACGGATTTACCCAACACTCGAAGAAAGTGTTTCACAACTGAAGGACTATGAGTAAAAGAGACCTAAGGAAGTACGTTCATAAGCGATCCGACAATTGATGGGCGCATACAAAACAAATTAAAGTTGCATGAAATAATTTCGAATGAAGTGCCGATCGAATACAAACCATCTCGATATTAGAATAGGAACATAGGGAAATACGCGTTCCTAAAGAATATTATCACCTCGGAACGACCACCCGATATCAATAATACGGTTAATGTAACTATGAACCACACATGGGTCATTTTTACTTGTGCGTTTCCGTTCCCTTAGATATCATTGATAACCAAGATGATGTTCATGAAAAGGTAATATCGCTCGATCCAGGTGTTGTCAAGACACATCATATTCTATTATAACCAAAAAAGCAGTGTCCGCTGCGCGTCATTTAAGATTAACATTTTTTAAAAAAATTATAATATTTATTTTTTAATTCACTTTGTATGTATTGTATAATTCGACAAATATTGATAATTGAATAAAATTTTTTGCTGGTATTACGATGTGAACATTTCGATTATTTTTGAAGTTTTTCAAGGTGCACAACTTGTAAAAAATTCTATCATTATTAAATAAAGATAAATCATTTTATAAGAAATATGATATTAGTACCGACAAAAGTTTATTGATAGAATTGGTATCGAATATAACGCCGGTGTTGAATCAAAATCGCGCATTAGAGATATTGAGATCCAGAAATTTTTTTATCTTACGTTTCTGGTTAGATCAATTTAATAAAGTTTTCTACTTATTAAAAATTCTTTTTATAATGGAAACATATAAAATTATTATAAAGTTTTAATTTGAAACAAATTAATACAAAAAAAAAAAATTTAATTGAAAAGAGTATCTAGAAAAATAAACTTGAATTTTGAAACTCTTGATTTTTTTAACTATATACAATATTTACTTGTTTTAATTGGATGCTATTATATTGCTTTTTAAATAAAATAAATATTTTAAATAATATAATTTTTATAGCTAGTTTTAATGCTAGATTATTAATAAGAATAGTTTTTTATTTTCTTTTATAAATAATTAAATTTATATTGAAATATTTAAAATAAATAAAAATTTTAAATTTAGATTTTTTTTCTAATTTGGAACCTTAATTAAGATGGTTTTCAAAATTAATTACAATACTATATATATTTAAAAAATTTTAAATTTATTTATTTGTTAATTATTCAAAACCATTATATAAAAACCAATAAATATATTGAATGAATCTTGAATTATATTGATATAAAATTTATATAACAATATTTTATAATATATGAAATTTAATTCAAACTTATTTATTTAAATCATAAATTTTGATTTTAAAGTTTTTTTTTTTTACAATATTAAATAAATATATATATAATTTGTAACTTTATAAATTTAAGTATATTGATAAACTTACAATTTTAATTAATAACAGATATGATATTTTATGTTAATAATAATCATTATGACAACAAAAACAATAATAATGATAAAATTGCATCATTCATACACCGTATTTTTTTAATTATCAAAATAATATACCAATATAACATAGAATGCTACAATAGGAATTGTTATAAAAAAATATTGTCTGAAAAGTCGAAAAATTCAAATAATAATTTAAAACAATTAAGGTAATTACTAAAAAAATGCATACAGTGTATATATGAGGTGATCGCATATTGATCAATTTCCATATATGATTCTTTTATATCGATAATCGGTACACATTATGTATAAAGTTTCGTATATTAATTAATGAATCAATTATTCGAGTTAGGAACTCGACAATGAAATAAAATTATTCGTTTCATACAAAACATTCTAATCCCCGCAACGTATCAGATTTTTCATTTATATCGAGTAAATTACCCCAAAAAAATCTTAACCAAAATGGTAATTTTATATTCATGCGCCGATTTGTGGTTAATTATAGATATTTTCTTACAAATTAACCGCTGAAGAATATGGTTTTGGTGTTTTTCAACGAGCGCAACATATATATATGTACCGTACATTAAAATTTATTAGTATTAAATACACTAAACCAGTTCCTAATTGATTTCATCACACAGGTCCGTAAATAGATAACCGTAAAGGTTAATACATATAACTTTCTATAGTAAATAAGTACATATTATGCCGACCATATTTATTATCCGTGACGAAAGAAACTGTCATCGTTATGGATCCCCGAAAGAACATCATTTTCTTGTATTTATATAAAAAGCATGCCTTCGAAAACTAGTCAATTTAGACGTATAAATTTATAATAGAAATGGACAGATACCTGAAATTATTTCCACCAACATACAATAAAAGACGAGAGAGCAAATTTTCTTGTGCAGCATTTGCCTTTGTCCAAATTTACATCACTATTAGCATATTATCAATAACATCACTAGTTCAAGCTGATAGCCCTCAGCCAAATTACAGTCTACCAGCGGCGGATATCCCTGGAATACCTTTAGGCAATAATGACAGTGATTCATATCCAAATACGGAATATGCAAAAATATTGGCTTATTCATTATACTTTTATGAGGCACAAAGAAGTGGAAAACTACCACCCGATAACAGAGTGCCGTGGTGAGTATTCAGCATAAATGTTGATTTAGAGAGTTTGCATTTTTCAATCTGCTAAAATTTCTTCCTCAGGAGACATGATTCAGCTTTACAAGATGGGCAAGATGTCGGGCTCAACCTAACCGGGGTTTGTATTGATGTTACTTAATATTGATTCTAGTTCCTAAAATGTTTAATCAGTTTGTTTTCTCAAAATTTATTAGGGTTACTATGATGCAGGTAGTAAATTGTATTGATAAAGTTCATCGCATTCATTAAATTTATAATTGAACAGAGATTCATCTATCATTTGTTTTCAGGTGATTACTTAAAATTCACTCTCCCATTGTCTTGGGTCATCACATCCCTATCTTGGGGCATCCTAGATTGGGGTAAGGGATATCAACTTGCCAATCAATCTCAATATGTTCACGACATGATTAAGTGGGGAACAGATTGGTTAATAAAGGCACACCCTGATCAGAATACATTATATGCAATGATTGGATTAGTAAGTGTAGATAATAATTATTGGGGACCGGATAACAAGTATGTCATATGAAGTATTGCTTGTTCTTTTGTTTATTCGTATATCTCAAGTATCCTTCTTTCTGATCGAATAGCATCCCTCTTCCACGTCCTTCGTTCAAAGTAAACTCTTCAGCACACGGAACAGACGTCGCGGGCGAAACCGCAGCTGCATTTGCGGCATCGTCTTTAGTATTCCGAAATTTCTATAACGAGTCCTCTTATGCGGACATTCTTCTTTCACATGCAATAAATGCGTATGCGTTTGCTGAATCAACACCATTTGTTCTGTATCAGAATTCGATTCCTCAAGTTAAGGAGGCTTATGCTTCAACAAATTATGCAGATGAATTAGTGTGGGGTGCACTTTGGTTACATCGAGCAAATAACAACGGCACCTCTTATCTTAACAAGGCTATTGATTATTTTAACGCAAATTCTTTAGCCGGACAGAACAATATAGTAAATTGGGACGACAAAACAGGTGCTGTTTATGTATTACTCGCCCAGTTAGTTCAGCAATCTGGTCAGGATGCAAGTAAATGGAAAGCCGAAGCTGAAAGATATTTGGATGGGATAGTGACACAATCAACTGATTGTTCTCTCACCAAAGGTGGTCTTTTATGGTGTGGTGGTGATAGCACGTCTGCTTCCTTAAACCCGGCATTAAATGCCGCTTATTTATTATTAAACTATGCTCCTTACGCTACTTCACCCGATAAGGCTCAACGTTATAGGGATTTTGCCATATCACAAATTGATTATACACTAGGTAAAAATCCAATGCGTACACCGTATGTAATCGGCGTTCATCCTAATTCACCACAGAACCCACACCACGCCGGTGCAAGTGGCGGAATCGATATCACGAACCTAAATAATCCATCAGAAACTAAATATGTCTTGTATGGAGGTCTTGTTGGTGGTCCAGATAAGAAAGATAATTTTGACGACGATAGATCTGACTATTCTCAAACGGAGGTGTGTGTATTATCATATTATTTGCGCATACTTTTTAACATGATGTTCTTAATTATTAATTACTTCTTTTTTGAACAAGGTTGCTTTGGACTATAACGCACCCTTTCAAAATTTGATGGCATATCAAGTTATTAATTCACACATCGATCCTTATTATGTCAGTGTTCCACCTGGAAGACCAGCACCAAGAAAGGAGGGCCTCAGCACTGTTTTTATCGCGATCTTGGCGGTCGCTGGCTTGTTTACAATTGTTGCTGTCATTATTCTGTTTTCGGAACGCAAAAGAATCTCGAGCTGGTGGAAAGATCTTCGACTAAAACGAAGTCAAACTTGAGATGATCGCATTATAAAAGTATTCGCGTTGTAAGAAATTCTCAATATTGAAAATTGAATTTAATGTAATTTGCTAACCTTGATAGGAACTGTAGAAAAGATAGAAATTTGTATGAATTTAACTGTTGAGCCATGGAATATTGATCTAAAAGAAAATCGCTGTGTAAAATTTAAATATCAACTTTTTTTGCGAATATTACTGATTACCTATGAAAACAAATATACTGTACATATATAATTTTTATTAAATATTAAATAATCAAAAATATCTTAATGTTGGAAATTAAAAATATTCTAATTAAAGAATTTAACTTTATTTGTTAAATAAAAATATTTTATAAAAAATAATATTTGTCATTACAAATGTTAGCCATACGAATTTATACTTTTTTTAAATAAAGAATATTATTTTTAACTAATTAATTTCAGTATTACAAACATGTTATCAAACAAACAAATTTACAAAAATAATGATTAAACAAAACCTTTTTAGTAATCATATCAACTGATTATTAAAATTCCATTTACAATTACAGTATTGGTATTATAAATATCATTAATTACATTAAATTTATAATATCTATATTTTATAATAAATTTTAAAGTTTTTTTATTTCAATTATTTCAATTATTTATGAACTTTTTTTTTATTAAATTAAAACAAACACGGTATATTATTAAAAATTAACAGAATATTGTTATTATGAAATAAACAAAATTCGATAGTTTATGATTTGTATAAATTTATTAATTATTTTATTAATTATTTTATTTATTACTTTAATTTATTTAATTTATTTAATTAAATTAATTAAATTGTTATTATTTATCTTTTTGTAATAAATCAAAATTATAAATAATTTGTAATATAATATTTCTTATTCTAATTAAATATCAAATATAGTATTTATTTAAATATATAATATCAATTTTTTTAAAAAAAAATTATAAAAATTTTCTATAAATATAAATACTATATATACAGTATATGCAGTATATACACATTTAACAATATTTTTTTTTGAAATTTAAATAAATAACATCTATTATATTAATAAGTTATATATATTTTTGACAAATATTTAAATTATTATATTAGTTTATAAGTAAAATATGTTTAAATAAATATATTAATATACAATACAGAATATATAGTATATAAATAATTTTATTTGAACTTATTTTAATTTATTAATATAATTGATTTTTTTTTAAAATTAAATATAATATATATATGTAGTTTTTATTAATTAATAAAGATTATATATTACTTTATATAAATAGTTTACCTAAAAAAAACAAAAAAAAACTCTTTTCTATACATAACTTTTTTTCTAAAAAATTTTCTTTTATAATAATTTTTCTTCAAAATTAATGGACTTTTTTTTGCATATCAGTCATGTGCATTATTTAGAACAAATAGCATACAATTTTACAAATTTATTATTAAAAATTGTCTATATTCTTATTTATATGACTGATTTTTTTATATTATTAATACTTCGCTGATAAATACCTTTCCACTATTTTTTTAACCTCTACTTATGTGTATAATCATCTTTCAAATTCTCGATTAAGTGACAAAGTTTGCTGAAAGTCTATGAACACAAATGACAAAGATATGTATTTTCGTCTCCTAATTCCGAAGGCTTTGACTCTGACGGTTCCTGTAATTGAATTACAAATTACATGAATGAATCTATGGTATAAAAACAATAAAAATAACAATCACTTGTGAAATTATCTCTTTTACTTTCCATACTTTTAGCTTAAAACCTGGCAAAATATCATCTCCATCCAAGTCTCTCCAATCACAATAGTGACAAAAGACATTACTATTTATAAGGCTTTACTTGTAGACCCAAATCTTATCATTAATATGATCAATTAGCCAACTGAGCTTAACAAATATATTTGACACAAAATAAGAGTCTTTAAATTTGAAATCCAAATTTTTGAATTTCATACTATTTGTATTTTCTATATTATCAACCTCTATAACAAATATAGGGCTAAATGATAGGTCTCGAAAAGAGGTACCTTGCTTAACAGTTAGATTGCAATAAGTTTCTTTTGACATAAAGGTGACATCTAGTATTCTAATCTTTCTTATTTCGATTAGAAAGCCTCTCTGCGAACTAGTCACAACACCGTTTTGACCAGTTTGAATATTTCAATTATGAATTTGAATATAAATCTCTTCAACAGCAACTTCCTTAAAAATTGGTATTGGTGGCATGAGAACTAACTTTCCAGATTTATCAAGTTCAAAGTATTTGATGGAAACAAACTTGCTAGATTTATCAATCTTGATTTCCAAAAAACAATTTTTGAGCTAATCACTTATAATTTCAAACTCTTCAAGAGTATAAATGCAATTTAAGTCCAATTAATCCAAGTCCAAGTAATCAGTCTCCTTTGCAATTTCCTTACTTCTATCAATACTTACAGTTCTACTCACTGATGGAAATCTGGTACTTTTGAATATTATTTCTTATCAAAAATTAGAAATACTTGATTTTACCAATAGGATTAAACATTACCTAAAAATAAAAATCCTAATAACAAGGAGTCCTTATGACGTCAATCTAATAACCTGTTCCTATGAAAATTTTCACAAGGACAGAAGTAAATATACAGTATATATATGATAAAGCTTGACGTAGGTGGACTTTATTAAATTCTTAGGTATTTCAATAAACTACTAGATTGTAATCTTGATTCATGCTTACCCACTATTAAAGAAAATTTATGTTCCTGTATTTTGAGATATTACATATTTGATACATCAGAACTTAATTTCAAAATGGATAATACTGTGAATGTTTTTATTCATTGAACATATATATTGTCTCTCAAAAAGAACGCAACATCTGATCAGTGATCTTTAAATACTAAAATTTTAAGTAGGATAAATCAGATTATAATGAAATTTATACTATAGATAGAATATAAGTATGCTTAAATAATAT